GGGGGGGGGGGGGGCGAGCATATATAAATATGATGCCGGTGCGGTCGGCCGCCCTCCCAGCAAATGGTTCCCACCCCCCGCGGGTGGTGTGGTTGGGAGTTGGGGTTGTTGCCCCCTTGCCCCCCTGTAACGTGGTGTGGGTTTGGGTTTGTTTGTGGGGTCACCCTGCGTGGTTGGAAGGCATGAGGTGACAATTGGAGGGGTAACAGAGAACTCTCCCCAACCTACTCATCTCATCTACTCGCTGGCACCTGCAGGCCATCTTCAGCTATTCGGAGACGAGTTTTGACCTGTGCCATGACAGTCGATGACCACTGGAAGCGGAAGGATGCTCAACCGAAGTGCTTCCAGGGAATGTCTACATGAGTCTACATGACCTCCTGCAGCCGTCTTAGAGCAACTTTAAAGCAGGAAGCCCTTCCAGTGTAGCTGCAATGCCGGCAATCATCACTGACTGGCAAGCTTGAACAAGCTTTTGCAGTCTGGCCTTTTGGGACGAATCTTGCAGCTCGTCCACATCTGCAGACATCTGAACTTTGCAGTAGATCAAATCCCTGCCGTGCCAGCCAGGTAATTTGCGCTGCGCAGTCGAAACTTATCTGAAGCATGCCACCTCCCAATGCACGTGGGAGATAACACAACAAGTGATCATCATCTCTCCCATGCTACAGCAAACACAAAAATGTCAAATACCACAATATCCACCATGCTGTTCTGGCCTGATTTCGTCTTCTGCAGATCGCATGCGCGTGCCATAAGAATCCTTGGAGTGTCGGCGCTCTCGAGATTGCCAGGTTTCCAGGCCTTCTCGCCTCTGACATCGTTCGGTTCTGTGTAGCATGTACGATACCGGTCTTGAAACTTCCCTGCCCAGGTGCCAGAGCACGGTCGAGATCACTGCAATGGGCTTTGGTCTGAACGGGCCATTGTGAAAGTCTCGCGCAGGACCGGTCGTACGTAGTTCCAGCAAGTTTCTAAATTGACATTCAGTCTGGCCTGCTCCAAACCTTGCTCCAGCACCATGGTGCGCCCGTCAAGCGTTCCCAGGTGTGCGTCATGAAGCCTTGGAAGAGCAAGGAGCAAAACATTTGCTTCCTCAACGTGCCTTTGGGGCTGTTTCGGGCGAATTGCCTGAATCGTCAAGGGCAACCTGCTGGCAATCGTGTGTGACATGCGCTGGGGCTAGTTCTGAGAGCTGCGCTGCAATTTGTCCCGGTTCGCCCCAGCTGCAGCTGCGACTTTGCTGATGCCTTCAGTGGCCTGGGACAGCGTGCACAACGGCAAAGCCACTGAAATCTCCGAGTGTATTATTGAGCTATAACATACCAGCTGACAAGCGGCTTCAGCATGGTTCTTGGCTGCAATCTCGACCAACTCCTTGCGTTGGATACATAGAGGTCTAATGCAGCAGAAGACTTCGAACTCTCCAAGACAGCCAAAAGCATGTACCGACCGCCGACAGCCAACAACATGTTTTGGTCAAACAAGTCAGGCCCCTGTCCCTCCTCGCGGATGCGATGCACATGGTGTGCAAGGCGTTCCAGGGCATTCATCTGTTTGGACTCCTCTGAAGCCTGCATCAGTGTCAGCAGAACTCAATCAGCAGGGAGCACAGGGACGGCTGCTGACTGTGGAAGCACAACAAATTCCAAGACGAATGCCTGTTACGGGTCCGGATATCCTTCTGCTGTCATTACAACGAAGTCAATCGCTGCAGGCGACTGGAAGCACCTGCTCCTTGTCGTACTGCAGGAGCGTGGCCTGGCAGCTGGACAGTCCAATGCCCTCACCAGGCCAGGCACATGAACTTCTGCTGATTTCTCATGTGCGGCAGCTCTTTTGAAAGCGAAGCCTGCATGTTCGCATCCAATGCTGCCTGAGCAGTTGGGTCGAATCTTCGATGGTGCACACTGAAGCTGTACTGGCACTTTCTTGGATGAAGGCAACCCTACTTATACGATTCTTCGAGCGGTTCAAGGCGCGGACGATGGCTTCTTCCACGCTAGTGAGGCCTGGCCGGCTGGTGTCACATGCCGACCAGGACACTAACGGACCCATGCCGCCATGCCTTTCTCTGCTGAGTCCAGCCGAATACCGAGTGCAGCAGCGGTCCTTGCATAGCACAAGCAGGATCCGCAAGACCAAAACCCATGATGGGCACATGCCAATCTCTCTGACAAAGCATTGGTCTCCTGCTGATGTCTTCATGATTGTGCTTCACCTGTCGTGCTGAGACATCAGACTCCCGAACGTTCTGGGCATTAATTGTCATGGCGAGGCATTGAGCTTATTGCAGCTGATAGTTTGTCTGGTCTTGGAGCTGACATGAGCTGACGATGCCATGCTGCCACGCCTTACTGTCGGTGTGATCCAGCCGCCTGGGTCAAGAGGCGTTCAACCCAATGTGAGGCTCAGGGCAGTGCCTCGTCAATCTGGCGATCGTATCCACGGCTTCTTGGTGGTGGCAGGACTCGACGGTCTTCAGCCTGCGAACCGAAGTGTCAGGGTCATTTTGCCAGCTGCGCTTTCCCTGACTCGGCTGCATCTAAGCTGGTCGTTCGAGCGAACACTTGCAACACAAGCAACGAGGCCTGCCTGTTGACTGAATACCCTCCAAATGCCGTGGCAACGGGAAGCTACGGGCGCACTGTGAGGGAGCACCGACCGCAAAAGACAAGCTCAGGCTTCCCTAAAGCTGACACCACTCACAAGGCAGTTGGAAAGGAGTCGTCGAGGTCGACCCCAGAAGAAAAGCTGCCAACAAACCTAACGTGAATTGAATCTTGCTTGCAAAGACTGCAACTAGGCCCTGGCTGCGCGTGATTGAGCGGAGGCTCTTTGTCTGTCCCTCTCACACTGCCGCCTCTGCAGTTCGGACTGCGTCGCCTGGCCAGACTGCCGGGAGAGTTACAGCACGAATACACTGGGGCAAACGGCCCGAACAAAGCGAACTTTCGGGGTGTTGATCGCCATAAAGTGGGGTGTCACCTCGCCCTGAGTCTTGGTGACCTCCAGCCGATCCTGATGGCACAGGCAGTGCGGGGCCTGTGCACGCAGCCGCTAGTCAGCGATTGCGTTCTGACCCAACGGAGATGAGATTGTGCCACTACCGCTCTGATCCAGCCACGACTCTGAAAGGCCGTGGAAACAGAACTTGTTCAGCTCGCAAGCCTCCTCTGAAGCATCACAGCATGCATGGCTCAGTCATGCTTGCCATTTTCACCTCACGTCGCTCGATTGTCGACCACAAACTCGCTTGGAAGGCACATGTCCCCGTTTCTGTCCTGCAGGTGCTGCAACGTGAAGGCATCGGCCTTTAGCTGATCTGCTGTGACCTTCCGGGGCGAACAGAAACTGCCCTGGAACTGTCTCAAGATCAGGCCGCATCCGAGGCTTGTCGGATTCTTTTGACGCGTGGGTACCTCGCCTGGGCCTTGGACTCCAAAGATACCACACGCGATCTGGTGTCCTGAGAAATAGCGGTGCTGAATCTCAACGCATGGTGCATGCGGCCGACTCTTCGTAGCAGCGTCCTCCTGCTGTGGCAGCATTGAGTTCAAACTGGATCGAACGTCGAGTATTTCCTTTCAAGGTAGAGCTGACGATGTGTTTTTGATGACGGACAATGAAAACAGAGCAAAGCCGCAAAACTCCCTAAGCCCAAAGACATCTCAGTGAATTGATGATGCTCGGCCTCATCAAACTGCTTTCTCAGCTTCTCTTGCCGTTCCTGGTTGGCCTTCCGTGACTTCTGTTGGCGCCCCTACTTCTCTGGGACGGTTCAAAGGCGGGGGTTACCTCCACCTAGACAATGGGGGGCACGAAGCCGAAAGAACGCTCGGACCTGTCGAGTCATTTTGGGCCAAGTCTGGGAGCCAAGGGAATTTCCGGGTGCTCCGTAGGTTCATGCACAAGTTTCCGCAAACCTCCAGGAGTTCGGTATCGCAAGGACAATCCAGCAACAGAAAGGACCAAATGCTTCATGGGGCACAGTGTGCCCAGCCTGCGAAAAGACTTCGATGAGCTTCGTCACGTCCTCGTGACTTCGCGCCACGTTGCTCTTCACCTGGCCAGTTTGCAAGCTCGCACTCGCTTCGTACTACTCGCGGCTTCAATCTTCCCAGCCTTGGTCAGGTCCAGCTTGAGGCACGCCGATGCCTCCTCAAGACTTTTCTGTGCCGCAGTGACGGCACCCACACCGACACCTGAGAAATACAAGAGCGATGCCATGCAAGCTGTACTGCATCTGTATTGGATCCAACATGGTTCAACAGCTGCCCCGCCGAGTTCCCTTGACATAATATAGCATAGACGGACGAAGACAATGCCGCGTCTTGGCCAAGCTGCTCTGAGCAATCTGCTCATCACGCACACTTCGCACCTGTGCTTGCGGCCGAAAGAACGAAATGTGTGAGGATGGGCTCGGACTCTCCGAATCCCCTGAGCCTGATGGTGTGCTAGATTTGGCATCTTAGTCGACGTCGTGGTAGCTGCTACGAGAGGCTCTGTTGCCAGTGCTTAGGCTTAGACGTTCTCACGCCCAATTAACAGTTTACAGAATGGCAAAACTCACCAGCTCCGGCGCGAATGCATTGCCTGAAAAACAACCGGTTTAAGGAAACCCAAGAAAAGCCTTCTGACATCAAACATTTCTCGCGGCTGCGCCTGTTTCTCAAGTTCCTTCACGTGTTCGGCGAAGGGCTTCAGAATGCTCATCAAGTGCTCATGGACGAACCTGCGTGGGAGATCGGAGACAGTGTGCCATAGTGTGCCAACACAGGCCAGCTTCTGCACTGGCTTCACAAGATTTGAGACTCATGCCATATAGACAGTCTCTTTCTCTTTCGTGCATCCAAGTGTCGTATGCATCGGGTTCTGCTCCTTTTGCACATCGTGATGGGGCTACGACAAGCACGACGGGTGGATGCATCAGAGGGCAGCCGCTCCTGACTTCCCGCATTTTCAAAGCTGTTGCGCAGGTCCTGACACAGTCGATCCCAGGTCCGGTGAGGACTTGGATCTGTGCCCGGGTGAACTCTCGGCGACTCTCTTCCGACCCTGAGCCTTCACTGGCACATCTACACACATGTATCTGCGGTTAGAAGCGCTTCCTTCTCCTCTTGTGTAGCTTCCCTTGCCGCAGCAAACGAAGGTGTGTGCATGCCACGAAGCTCTTCCTGCTTGGCTTCACCAGACAGGGAGAGCCTCCAAAAGGCCGGAGTCTGCAGACTCCGGTTGCTAAAGCTTGGGCCTCATGTATTTTTAGAGCAGACCACTGTGCAACTGCATGGATCATTGTCACACAATGTTTGCATTACGACAGAACTCCAACTGGAGCACCAAAGAAGGACTGACAAATCCAGGCCTGGCTGCGTGGCTTGGGACAAACGGGCATTAGCAAATGGCATGACGTGAAGACATGCGCCTAAAGAACTGGAATCATCAATCTGGCTTATGCCTATTTATGCCTCGGGCGTAATTTACAAATCTCTCACTCGGTGCTGCATTCATGGCCTATCGCGACAGCAGTATGAGCACGATCCTTTTCAAACATTTTGTATAGTGCAACGTACGTTTACGATGGCCCCTGTTGCTCCATACACCCGGCGATCCCTGTCCTCCTGCCGCAGCGCCCAATCCTCTGCCAGAGATGCCATGAGCTCCTTGCGCTGAATCTTGCGAAGCCCTCGTTCTGCCGCCCTGGAGCGAGTGGGAGGCTGTGTTCGGCCCGGCCCTGACCTGTCGCTAAAAACCTACAGTGCACATAGAAGATCTCGTGTCAAGAGCTATCTGCGTATAGCTACATATCTGTAAAGCATATGTACATGTTACATATATATATATATATATATATATTTATGTAACATGTATATATCTCTATAAATATCATATGTATATTTGTACATACCTGTACACCTATATACATACACACACACAGAGTATGCGAACGCCACGAGAAGTACGTCTGCTGAGAACTGTCGCAACACCCAAGCAGTCTTTACTTACGGGCTGATTGAGCCAAGAAAGAGTTGAACGGCCGTGCAAAGAGAGACAGGACGCGCCGAACCCTTCACGGAACCTAATCGGTTTCCCTGGAACCCAGGGACCTCGCATTTGCATGCATTTGCTTCGATCAGTCCCTTCAAAACTGGTCGAAATGGCTCTCCCTGGCAAGCTAAAAGTACCAAGCAGTCCTGCAAAATCGTGACACTGGAGTCAGCCCTTTTTTCTTCGCAGCACGAACGAGCCGACTCAGACACCCGCCGCGAAAAGGATTGCCACCAAAGTGACAGTCTGCTCGGACCAACACGCACACAAGCGCGTGCATGCGTTTGTGCGTGCTTTTGTTTGTTTGTTTGTGCATGCGTGGGTGGGTGGGCGGGTGGGTTGGGTGTGCGAGCGGGTAGACTCGCCCACGTTCGCAAAGCGGGAAGGCTGTGCTCGGGGGTGTGGTGGTGGGGTTCTGCGTGTGGTGTGTTTGTGTAGAGGATGCTCCAACGTGTCGGGCCACATGCATATGTCATTTTGGTGCGAAGTATTGATAGGATATTTGCACAGTGACGGGAACAGCAGAACAAATATGACATCATTGGCCAGCAGGAGTCAAGCCATACATGGCATTCCCAAACAATCCAGATTGTGTTTACTTTGGGCTTCTTGCGTTACCTGCCGCTCGGAAGACTCTTGAGGATCGATGTGTCTCCAAGGACCAGCCGGTTGCCTGTATATCTTTGTACAGTGGGCTTCAGTGCAATGATGCAATGCACAGTGCAATGGCTGCGTATCAGCTGTAAGGTAACCCTACTACGGGGCTCGACTTTCTACGCAAGCAGGATGCAAGTCTATCGCCGCTGGCAACCTGCAGTCATGCTCACTGTGCGAGCGCATCGTTCTCAATAGTGGCCTCATGTGCAGTGCTCCAAGCCCACCTGCCGAGGGTCTGTTCCATCCATGCGAGGATCCACTTGCATCCAGATCCTGATGCAGTAGCAGGCAGAGCTTGCAAAGCAAGTTTTCCACATGTTCCATAGAATTACAGGTAGGTTGCCTAATGCAGCCAATTACACGGGATGTCATCTGCGACATTCATTGCAGGGCCCGGAATTGAGATCTTATCGGATATGAACATGCTTCTGTGCCTCGTCTATAGCACTGTGGCACGTTTCTCGAAAGTGAGCAGCGACTCATTTTCGAAAGGGCCACGATGCTCTTGTCTGGGTTTACACTTTGCACTAAGGAATAGTGCGAGTGCCGAACCTCCCGCAACGAGGGATACATCTTCAAAACAAAAAGCGCGCATGACCTGATGCAAAGCTCTACATCAATTATTGACGGACGATGCCGGCGGAAGGGCGATTAAAAGTTGGTCACACTCACTTGCTTGCTTCATCTCAGCGATCAACATTGAAGTCTGGCGATCTGCGAACTCTGATAGAGGCTTCACAAAGAAACATGAGCAAGTCTGTAAGAAGCGGCTTTCGTCTGTTGGTTCCGTGTCCATTTTGTGAATCTCAGATGGCCCGTAGACTGACTCATTCTTCCACATGCCCCAACAAGGAGCATGAATCAACCGCAAGGGCCGTGGTGTCCTGTCGAATCATTCTGACGTCGTCACACACAGCTATGCCACACGGTAGCTCATACAGTTATGCCACACAGCATGTGCAGGTCGAGGCCTATGCAGTCACACGTGGATCGAAATGCGGCGTGAGTCGGGCCACCGAGTTCCAAACAAATGAAAGTCCAAGAGAAAACTCATCTTGTGAAACGCGATGTCTGCTCCATGCGGACTCAGGATTCTAGATCAATCATGCCTTCCACCTACCTAGCGAATTGCGACTATGCGTTGTTGCTCGATGCGATAGTGCAGCGCACACGGCACAACCACCTGAATCTGACTGCGCAGCCGTAATTGGGAAGGCATCATTATCTGCACCACCGCATGTTAACAAGCAGTGTTGAAAGACCACTGTGCAGCAATAGTTGCAAGGCCTTACTTAACCACGCTTCTGTGCGCTGAGGGCCTTTGTGAGTTTTGCCCCGAACATGCATCAGCACGTTTCAGCAAATCAAGCTTCGGGTAAATGTAACGGGCACTTAGCAAGCGAAAAGCCCTGTCTGCCCGGGATCGAAACCGTCAAAAGCTTCTGCAAATCCAGTGCCAATGGAGCATCGGTACGTCATGAGACAGTGGCCAGTTTAAAATCGGATCTTCCGAGCTTCCAGGGCCAAATGAAAGAACCCTGCGGACGACTGGGATGCTCACAGAAACCAGCATGAGCTTCTTCTTGGAACAACTCTCTTAGTTCTGGTCAGCGTCTCTTCTCGTGTTACGCGTGTTCTTGCTTCTCCCCTTTCGTGGGACAGGCTCTTGTTGGATAAATGTCTTTGGCCGTCCGAATTTTGATCTGTTCATTCCTTCTCCTTCTGGAAGCCATACTTCGAGAGGGGCACCGGCTTGTGAAGGCCGTGTGCATTGGACAGGGTTTTTGCAGGCCGCGCTTGCTTGTCGGCCCATCGAGATCCCACGGGTTCTGGGCCCCAGCTTCGTGATGTTTCTTCCTTTCTTTCCCAAAGGGCAAATATATGGAGGAACGACCTCTGTCTTTCTGCCTCTTCCGGCGGAGCCACCCTGCAGAGTGACACGGGTTTAGGATCACGTACGTGTGTCTGTAGTCTACATTATTGGTGTCACTTGTGTTTTGTTTTCTGGCGCCGCTTGTGTTTTTCTTTCTGCGGTCGCTTATGTCTTGTTGCTTGTGTCGACCGCGAAAACCCTCCTTTTCCAGCCTTGCCGGTTCGGGGGCAGGGGTGGGAAGGGTTCTGACAGGTTCATTCTTTAAGGGGTCAAAGGGAGGTTTCCGGTTTGTTCTTTGGGGCTTCCGGTGATGCCTTCGGGAAAACGGTCTGGTTCGAGGTGCAGGGTTTAGGGTTTCCGTTTGGGTTTCCGTTTTCGGGTTCAAGGGTTCACTCTTTAGGGCTGTCGGCTTCCGATTTAGGGCGCGTTCATTCCTTGGGGGTTCTCGGCTGTTGTTTGGGAGCCCAGAACCAGTTCACTTGCTGCCCATAGCAGGTTGGAGATGTTGACTTCAGAGGGCCGAAGGTCGTTCTTTCCGAGTCATACCGGCGGCCCTCTTGTGAGAGATTGTTACTGCGAGTAGATAAGACACAAGTGAGTTCCCCTTGTGGGTGACACACCCTGGCTCGAGCAAAGTCATTAAGACTCTGAGACAATCATTCTGTCTTTGCTTTGCTTTGCTTTGGGGGCTGAGGCACGGGCAGTCCCCGTACCCCTCGCTGTTGCTCACCCCCTTCCCTAATTCTCATAGAATCATTCTATCTCTTCCTCTCTCTTTGCTTTGCTTTGGCACGGGATTGATAGGGCCGCTAGGGGGTTGTCACTTGAATTAGGTTGAAGCGGACTTGGGGAAGCAGCGAGCAAGGCTCCCTCCCTCGCGTGCGAACACGTGCTGTTCTCCCCAGGTCGGCTAAGCTACTCCAGGCGATTCTGTCGCTGGCGCGTGCTCGTGCAACAGGGAATAGATTGCAAAGGTCTCTCTTAAGCACAAGTTCTCATGCAGGTCTGTGTAAGCGAAACCTCAAGTCATTCCGACTTGCAGCATTTTAGCTGACAAGTTACAAGCTCAAAAGCTCCCCGTGAGCGGCCAAGAATGGCATCACCTGGCTCGAATGTTGCGCGACGGGACAGAAACTATCACGTCATATCATATCTGTAAAGAGGCGCTGTCATCTGTGTGCGCTCACAAAAGCTGTGGCAATTCAGAAGCAAGTTCCATGAGCAGCGTCCAGTGTCGCCTGGCCTGTGTGTTCGCCGGCGCATAGGCGTGATCCTGCGGCAGGTCGGTGCC